GAAGAATGCCGTAGAATTGAACAGTAATCTATCGGCAAAAATACGAATTGCAAGGGTATACAATATTTTTATATACGCAATTCAATGTAAACCAAGGCTATTTACATTTAGAGATTGGAGAGCACATCCGCGCGCAAACCAACCAATCGTGGATGATAATCTTGTAAGGTTTTTTCCACGACAATTAGTAAAATGCTCAAAGGTATGTTACGCAATTAAACCCTTGTTGATGAGATAATACTGGAAAAGTGCCGAAGAATTTGAACACTAATCTATCGGCAAATTTATGAGTTGCAAGGGTATACAATATTTTTGTATGCGCAACTCAATGTAAACCAAGGGTATTTATATTTTCATTTAGGGTTTGGAGAGCACATCTGCGCGCAAACCAAACAACGTGGATGATAATCTTTGTAAGATTTTTCCCACGACAATTAATACCACGCTCAATCATAAGTTACACAATTACGCCATTGTTGATGAGGCGGTACTGAAAGAATGCCATAGAATTGAACAATAATCTATCGGCAAAAACTACGAGTTGCAAGAGTATACAATAGTTCATATACGCAACTCAATGTAAAACCAAAAATACCAACAAAAAACTATTTAATCGCATAAACATAGGTACGCAATAAAAGAATTGTTGATGAAGCGGGACTGGAAGAAAGCCGTAGATTTGATATTAATCTATCGGCCACCATATTTTTAACGAGTTGAAAAAGTATACAATAATTTTAGTATACGCAACTCACTGTTACGCCAAAGCTAGTAGTATTTAAGAACATAAGAATATGTTATACATACGTAGCTGAGAATTGTAAACAATATGACTACCTCGGCAGGCAAACGATTGTAACACAATTCAAAATGGCGGCGACAACAATATTTTGGCGGGGAAAAAGACAAGTCTTTTCACGCCTAATTAATTCACATAAAACTACACAACATGGTGAAAGTAATATGAAAAGAATACATCACCCATCGCAGATCAATTTTTAAGATTGTAGACAAACTGAAGGTCTAAAATTAATCCAAAAGGAGAGCTCCGCTTGGACACGTCCTAGCTGTGCTGCGACAAGCAGTGATGTGAAGATGACCTTAGGTGTCATCAAGGTCACAGGACAGCGACGGAAGGCCACTGATTGGGACTTGAGAACAACAACTTTATTTCTTCACCCAGGACCTTCGCAGCGCTGTCCTTCTAGTTGTCGTAAATAAGCAGTGAATGCATTAAGGAGTAATGCAGGATAAGTAAAAAATTTAATGCTTTACGTCACATCGGCAATATTTCAGCCATATCGTGACGACAAATAGATTTGAGCCATGGGACACAAAATATATGAGTGACCAGAGCTACGGCTGTACATTGAATTCCATTAAACGGTTGAAAAATACTACAGCCTTGATGCAAATTCGCCGACACACTACTCCGATTTTGCTTTGACTTTGCTACCAAACGTTTCACATGTGGCTGTGTGCGGTGCACTGATTGAAAAAAACACGGGGGACTGGGTTAATTCAAAATACGGAATATAACTATTCCAAATATTGCCAGGGAACATGAGCATCCAAACAATCAAAAGTGTGGTATGTAGAATGTGGAATTCAGCCATATTACATTTAAATTGAGATGTCGTCGTTGTTCATGAATAAGCATATTCAGAACATAATTTTTATTATGCTGTTATTTACGATCTCCGGAGCACAGTTCTTCTTTTGTATACACCATGAAAATCAGAAATTTAGTCCTTGAGGAAAAAGGACATCGGATTACACATGAATGGTTTAATAATGTCAGCTAATGACAAGAAACGGTCAGATGCATCAATTAACTACATAAAGACGATTTTGAAGTATCTCTTATTGCTTGAAAAGAATAGCATCAACATTCCACGCACATGATTTGTATGTTTTGTTTCCGTAAATGCCTGGCTTGAAATTTTGAATAAACCAACATGTCGACATACATGCTACAAAATTAACGTTTCCTGTATACTTCACCGCCTTAAGGGCGGGGAAGAACAAACGTATGTTTTCAATGTATATCTAAAATGATATTATTTGTTATTAATTGTCCGGTGAATTAAACAATTTAAATTGAAACAATTCATAATTCATCATATTATGAATACGTAACAACTTGTAATGTGTGTGAAAAGTCGTCCTAAAATACGCTATTTGAAGGGGGCGTGGCCTAAATGCAAATGTCCCATTGGGATTTTAAATTTTCCGGACGCCTGTTTTACAAGCAGAAATTTCCTTGATAAATGTTGGCTTCATCTACAGTAGAGGACGTAACGTGTACGCGAGACGGCTCTCCCGTCTCGCGTACAAGTGACCACCTGATCTATCACACAAGTGTCTCTGGGAACTTGGTGTCACAGCAGTAATCTTCTGGTTGGCTGGTGTTAAAAGGGTTAAACGGTGCCGATGCTGCCAAAATAGCAGTGTCTTTCATGCATTTCCACCCATGACATGAATATTGTTATATTGCCATTTGTGCACAAGCTGAGTGCCAGGGATATGATAAAATGTTCTTGAAAAATTGAGTTGTTTTAATTTTGTTACTCCAGAATTTTTTGTTATACCTACCTAACCTTTTAGGACAAAATTCAAGTAAAACAAATCTCTGAGGCTTTTTTTTTTTAATTGGCCTACCTCACTTTTGAAATCCGTAAACCAAGAAATAAAAAAATGTCGCCTAACCAGGCTTGGTCACTGCTTGAGGTGCAGTGCAATTTAGCATTCTCGTCAGATGTTTTCTCTGTTCTCTGGGAACACAGATCAGGAAATTTCCACTACCTTTTGGAAATAAGTAGAGATAATCAATAAGTATGAGCAAGGAAAATATAAAATTTAAATTTTCTGCAAATAGTAATACTGTCCAGAAACAAATATAAAGATAGATAAGGATTCCTCTCAACATGTCACACTAAGCTGAAACTGATAGATGACAACAATAATAACATGTGAAATATAGATGCAAGCAGCAATGGCAGGCTCCAAGTGACACACGCACGCACGCACAAACAGCAGCGCTGACGGAACATCGCCGCTACAAAATTGGCTTCTGCCAGGATGCCCCAGTGTGTTCCAAACCCATTTCTGACCTCGTCCATATTTGAATCTAAAATGGTTTGCGAGTACCAATGCTGTCAAAAGTTTGGCTCAGTTGCAAGACATCGCCACTGTGAAATAGGCATGTGTCTGGGTGTCCCAGTGTGTTCTAAACCAATTTCCAACCTTGTCCATGTTCTAATCCTTAAATGGTTTGCTAGTGCCAATGCCGTCAAAAGTAAGGCACTGGAGCAATTGGCTATTGCATGTTGGGAAACTAAAAAACATGCATCAACCAAGTCAACACGCCTGACCATCCGATTCCGTCAGTCGCCTCTTACGACAATCTTAGTCACCTCTTAACATGCTTAAGCATGTTAAGACAAGCATGGGTTGCTGAAGACCAATTATAAAACTGATTTCAAGGGTAGTATAGATAATGACATTTGCAACAAGACTGGGTATTGCTCTTGGGTCTCTGGGAAGCGAGTGAATGGGGGCTCATCTTATATTTGTGAGGCGCTTCCTTCAGTATTTGCACTCAATGAGAGTACAAAACATGCAACTGAAAATCAAATATAACCACCAAGCTGGGTTACTTTTAACATGCCACCAAGAACAAAATATGAGGTACATATGGCACCAAGACTTCAAGCAAACTTTCAATACATTCTGTGAAGAACCTTACAAGATATTATATCTAAAGTAAAATGTATGAGAAAAAAATGATTAAAATACAAACCCAATATGGCCGCAACTAAAAAAATATATCTACATCATGTACATAAGACTATCAACATTTGATGTGTTTTGCATGGAGACAATTTTGGAAGGATTTCATTAAGTAGATTCAGCAGAGTATGGATTTGAAGACATGTACCCAAAACACACTGAAAACCTTGAATCCAATATGGCTGCCAAACCATGTGACCAACGAACAAAGTCAAAGAACAAAAATGTCAAGCACCTAAAGCAACAGACACATACAAAGTTTGATAGTAATTAATACAGCGGTTGAGGGGTAATAGGGCAAAATAAAGTTAGTGTTAGTTATCTGCCTTTGGTCACTGGGCCTATGGCCTTGGGATTTTTGGATACTCTAGTACTAGTACTCAAGTAATCAACTGTCTACAAAATTGAATAAAATCGAGCCAGTGGTTATTTTGCTATCTCTGTTACAAAATTCAGCCAGTGGTTATTTTGCTATCTCTGTTACAAAATTCAGCCAGTGGTTATATTGCTATCTCTGTAACAAAATTCAGCATAATAATACTCATAATGATCTTCATGATTACAATCATCTTCCCGAGGCAAGTGAGTTAACTGACTATAAAAGTCCAGTTTCCACCCTTGCCAAACTAGGCTGGTATTATGGAGTTACATTTTGGCTGGACTAACGAGTTTATGCATAGTCCAATCAAAATCCGGGTCGTAAAGTGTCATGCAGATTTTGGTCGACTGCAGGAATTGCAAAGCATGTAGGCCGCTAACTCGTTGTCAACAGATATTTTCTAAATCTGTTCATATTTTTAATCAAGGTGCTCACGTGATTTTATGCGCTTCTCGATGTAAGACTCGTTTTATCAGAATATAGATCTTGATTATCGATCAGATCATCTTGACTGGGCGCCACGATTTTGTTTGAAGCAAATGCAAGTGATACAAGAGGTTGAATCTGATTGGTCAATAGGAGAGGCATAGAAAGGACATAACTCGTAATAGCCATTGGTGGCGCTAAGATCGAGCCCAGGAATTCCAGCCTAGTTCGGCAAGGGTGGAAACTGGACTTTTAAAGTCAGGATGGATTACAATAGGGTCCTACAGTCTTTCAGCTTGGAGCCCTAATAAGAAACTTAATAAGTCACTTATCACAAGCATGGATTTTTTTGTTCCTACTCTATGTCCATTGATGTTTGAATGTCTGTCCACACAATACTCACACTCATGATCCATGGTGACTCTGGCATCGAAGTTGATGGGTGTAAAGCCGCCATACTGCTCCTTGATGACCCAGTACACCTCCGGAGGGGGAATACTCTCTGGGGCCACGCAGTTCAAGGTCTGAGATTCCCCCAAATATGGTGAGAATGTCACGTCTGCTTCCACATCAAACTCTTTCAGCTTTGCTTCACGCAGGTTGATGTTTATGGTTGCTGATGTGCCATAATCATTCTCAGCAAAACACTGGAAAATCCCCTCATCTTTGTCTTCTGGTCTGTTGATGACGATGGTTCCAACATTGGCAAGCTGGACCATTCGGTCATCATTACCACTTGGGTTGAAATCAATTCCATTCTTTTGCCATGTGTACCTGGTAAAAACAGATTAAATAATGGGATCCTCTTTTACATAATTATTGTAGTTATCAAAGGTTACATCAGTTTGTCATTATCTAATGTTTAATATGTTAATTAACTTAGATCATTAAAATCACTGAATAGAACAGGATTTGTTGTTGCTTCTGCATTGCAATATGGATGGTAACACATAATGTTTCAAATGTTGCATTTATATAATCATCTGAATTAAAATTGGAATTCTTCAGACTGTTCTACTCTCATGTGTGGTACTTCCCCAGCCTAACGGAGTTACTGTGAGCTGCAGAGGACTTGATTTCAGTTGCTGATGGTTCATATCGAAGGAAGATTGAAAATGATTCAAGTCGTATGTTGACATGTTATACATTGGGGAAACATATGACTATTGATGCTGACAGTAGCAGGGATTGTAATAGTGGTGCTCTTGTAGTGGCATTCCATCCAATGACCACCTGTACCTGAAGAGGCTAAGGAACGTAACTCTCCACAGCCTAGTGAGTCCACTTGGCCACCAGATCCTGACAAGGCTGAGGAGCGTAACTCTCCACAGACAGCTGAACCTGACAAGGCTGAGGAACGTAACTCTCAACAGCCTAGTGAGTCCACTTGGCCACCAGATCCTGACAAGGCTGAGGAACGTAACTCTCCACAGACAGCGTAGTGAGTCCACTTGGCCACCAGATCCTGACAAGGCTGAGGAACGTAACTCTCCACAGACAGCGTAGTGAGTCAACTTGGCCAGCTGTACCTGACAAGGCTGAGGAACGTAACTCTCCACAGACAGCGTAGTCAGGCCACCAGATCCTGACAAGGCTGAGGAACGTAACTCTCCTCAGACAGCGTAGTGAGTCCACTTGGCCACCAGATCCTGACAAGGCTGAGGAACGTAACTCTCCACAGACAGCGTAGTGAGGCCACTTGGCCTCCAGATCCTGACAAGGTTGAGGAGCGGAACTCTCCACAGACAGCTGAACCTGACAAGGTTGAGGAACGTAACTCTCTACAGACAGCGTAGTGAGGCCACTTGGCCAGCTGTACCTGACAAGGTTGAGGAACGTAACTCTCCACAGACAGCATAGAAAGGCCACTTGGCCAGCTTAACCTGACAAGGTTGAGGACATAACTCTCCACAGACAGCGTAGTGAGGCCACTTGGCCAGCTTAACCTGACAAGGTTGAGGAACGTAACTCTCCACAGACAGCGTAGTGAGGCCACTTGGCCAGCTTAACCTGACAAGGTTGAGGAACGTAACTCTCCACAGACAGCATAGTGAGGCCACTTGGCCACCAGATCCTGACAAGGCTGAGGAACGTAACTCTCAACAGACAGCGTAGTCAGGCCACCAGATCCTGACAAGGCTGAGGAACGTAACTCTCCTCAGACAGCGTAGTGAGTCCACTTGGCCAGCTGAACTTGACAAGGCTGAGGAACGTAACTCTCTATAGACAGCGTAGTGAAGCCACTTGGCCACCAGATCCTGACAAGGCTGAGGAACTTAACTCTCCACAGACAGCGTAGTGAGGCCACTTGGCCAGCTGAACCTGACAAGGTTGAGGAACTTAACTCTCCACAGACAACGTAGTGAGGCCACTTGGCAAATATGATACTATATTTTCTTGAGTATAGTGCGCACCCAAGTATAATGTTCACCTCCCTATAGCAGATTCAGTATTTTGGGAAAATAAAAAATTCCAATATGATGCACAGAAAAAATTACACTGTACCCCTTCAGCGAATTCTCGTCAACGAACAGGTGATGAGAAACTTGATCAGTACAAATATGAAATTTGAGATAAAATATCACCAGACATGTTGATTTACCATTTAAATTGTATTTTTCAATCTGCTAGATATTGTTTTACATCCAGGGATTAAGATTACCTTGTGTATTTTCTCGTAAACTAAGTCCATGAAGTCGGAAACAGCAATCAGCTGTACACACGTTTTCTTGGAATCTACCGGTGGTTCAGTCAAGACACACCCAATGATATAACTTTACAGGATTTTAATGCAAGGATCAGCAAAAATTGTATCTGAAGCTATTTTTTTATCAGGAATAATATATTCCAATATCTTGTAAGTTTAGTTACAGCTTTTACTAAATATATTAAAATAAATATAACACTTAGCGAAGCAGCTTATCGCTATTGCCGGTTATTATTTTTCACATGGAACCAGTTGGACCGGTCACCCTCGAGGCTCCCATGCACGTGATCGCGAGAACTATGTGTTGACATAGAATCGTCAAACTATAACAAATTTGAATTTTAACGAGTCAAAGTATGGCATTTATGATATATGTATCCATTCTCTGTCAACTAAAGTTTGTTTCAAGGCACCAATAGCGGTAATCTGACCGTGGTTGCAAGATTTTGCCAAAATTAACTAAAACAATAGTAAAAGGAATTTTTAATAAAATTGATGAAATAAGTTACAAACATAAGTCCAGATATACAAAGAACACTTTTTATAGCCAGCCTGTGTAATTACATGATTAATTTGCGTACTTCAGTATGGATATGTTGACATGGTATTTCCGGTGTTACGTGCTCACAGTTATGTCTTTCTGTTGGGGGAAAAAACATCAAAACACATTAGTACGCGAATAATGTGCATCCCCTTCTACGCACTATACTCAAGAAAATACGGTATTCATCATACAAAGATTCATGTTAAAAGAAGAAAAAGGCTACCTACTTAAAAGTTAATATATATATATATGTCCTAAGTACATGAACACAGCACATGAGTGTTGTACCTGGGGTTGGGTATGCCTTCGGCAACACATGGCATCTCCACAGTTTCCCCGGCTTTGAAGAACACATCATATCTTGGCTGAATGTAGACTCCTGGTGGCCGTGTTACTGAAACAAATAAACATATCTCCATGACAACTGATAAATTTACTTCTGTCAATTACTCTAGAAATGCCCACCGTTCATATTTATGGGATTAAATAAATTTCTTACGCTCCCAGCAAGAGAATATAGTCGATAGCCACACACTAACAATGGGGCTGCCGGAATCACACACAAATAGCATGTGGACAAGCTGATGAGAATTCTATGCATATGCTGCGACAAATCTACTGTGACATGCACATAATCATTGATAATGTACGTATATGATAGATAATCTTCAATATATTCAAATTCAGATATATTTTGTTATTGTGTTCATGTATACACCATGTTATCTGATCACTGGACATCATGAGTATAGTGCATCTAAGTCATCATGAGGGCATCTTCCCGAGGCAAGAGAGTTAACTGACTTTACAAGTCCAGTTTCCACCCTTGCCTGGAATTCCTGGGCTCGATCGTAGCGCCACCAGTGGCTATTACGAGTTATGTCCATTCTATGCCTCTCCCATATGGACCAATTAGATTCCACCTCTCGTATCACATGCATTTGCTTCAAAAAAATGGTGGCACCCAGTCAAGACGATCTTTCGGCAAGGGTGGAAACTGGACTTTTATAGTCAGTTAACTCTCTTGCTTCGGGAAGATGCCATGAGGGGTTTGTCTTTAATTATTTCACTAAGTTGTAGACCATGTAGACAAAAATACACAATATGGTTGAAGTTTGAAGACTTTGTGGAAACCATATTACCTGCACCTAACTCTTTCAACACCAGTCAACCAGAAGCGTTTACTGCTTGACACCGAGTTCCCAGAGACTCTTGTGTGATAGATGAAGCCAACATTTATCAAGGATAATATATCCTGATATCTGCTTGTAAAACATCCTTGCTACAACGTGTTATACACCATTTGAAAGGTCTGATCCCACTGTTTATAAATATGAAACTTATGTTTATCACATTATTTAAATAATGCACTCACAACTTAATTAAGTTTGCTGTAAATAAAAAATGTAAGCTAACACATTCATAACGTCCAGATTATGGACCTAGGAAGAGAAAATTTTATGATTTTTGGCAAATACAAGACTTCATAAAATCCACTTACCTATTTCTTTATTATTTGCATTGTTTACGTAATTGGTAAATTATTTTAAAGAAATTTTAAAGAGTTATAAGTAGTATCTGTCATCACCCATTTCCTGATAACAGCGTCTGTCCTCTCAGTAACATGAAGAAATACCTCCGTTTTCCAAGCTTTGTATGAATAACACGTTCATTGAAGACTGCCATATGACACAATTCATTCGCTAGAAAGCTTGTTTTTTTCATCTACACATTCATAACATCGTCTGCAGGCTTTTAGTATATGTAACATGCGATTTTATTGGATTAAAACTGGTTTCTAATGACGCTTTCTTCCCGAAACCTGCTACAAGGTTCATGATTGGTCAAATTTGAGCACATGACCTAAGGCAGCCATTTAAATTACAGCTATGGTACTATCCTTGTGTATGATGAATTTCAGATTTTGATGAAAGATTTTTTAACATTATTCTGAACGTTTTAAGCAGGAAATCATTATTAAAAATATGGAACTTCATGGATGTATCAAGCTAGGTTACGAGCTGTTTCATGCATATATTTTTGCATTAAACATCGTGTCCGAGCCGTGAAATCAAGGCAACGACAGATGAGATGTCATTTGACTTACATTACACGCAATCGCACACAAGATGGAAATAATAACTTAGATGTTAGTTTGACAACTTTTAGATACATTTTTGTTGATTTTATTGATTACTTTGTATAATATATTTAAAGATTTGCTTGAAACTTCTTTATTTGTCTCTTTGACATGTTCAATGTGGGCCCGCTGTCGAAGTGTGTCTGAGAATTTTATTTCCAATAATAGTGACATAGTGAAATGGTGAATAATTTTTTAATCTATCGATAAATAATAATAAATTGAAATGGAATACATATTTCAGACATTGTGAAATGTGACAGATTTAATAAATGAATGATATGACAGGTAGGTTCATAAAATTATATACTAATTTGAGGTGACTACGGTCTACCGGCCTGCAGTGCCTGGGCTTGAGTGGCTTCTTGGCCGGTGTACCGGTCAACAGTGTTGAAAGAGTTAAAGTCCCATTGATTCTGGAACATGTGAGTTTTCTCTCAAGAGACTTTTCTCATGGGTAACCCATCTATGTTCATGGTGTCTTTACAATGAATCTTCCACAAACCAGTTGACATGGCTAACTTAAATCTAGCATGTACTAGTAGCAGTTACTTTGGCACCTAGTTGCCTAGATGAACAACTTCCTCTTTCAAACCAGGATGAACAGGAGGGCCTCTAGGATCTAGATCTTCTTAGAGACGAGAATATGTTTGAGAGAAGCCCTCCGAAAACTGTGCCCCTAATTGTTGAACTATGTCAACCATTCACAGTTTTCGTGAATATAGATCTGTACTGTCAACCATAAGACTTGCAACATCCCGAGTCTCACCTGCCAGTATTCCGGTGCAGCACAGCATGCATGCCAGCAGCACAACTCTCCTCATTGTTACTTGTGACAAGGTCGCTGGAAGGTAATCAGAAACAAACACCATGTATATGCTGTATACTCATCAATGTTTGCCATGAATAATATACAAATCCCAGCAGCATACGTTGTCCAACATGTCTGAAGTTTTGTGTGTTTGTTCTTTGCACCCTTGCCCCGACACTAAAGTAGAATGGTAACGCGGTCAGATCTATAGTCATTGATAGTAGAATGGTTAAAATACTGATTCACTGGTGAGACGAGATCTAAAGTAGAATGGTAAAAAATACAGATACACTGGTGAGGCCAGATCTAAAGTAGAATGGTAAAAAATACTGATACACTGGTGAGGCCAGATCTAAAGTAGAATGGTAAAAATACTGACACTGACAGTGAGACCAGATCTAAAGTAGAATGGTAAAAATACTGACACTGACAGTGAGGCCAGATCTAAAGTAGAATGGTAAAAAATACTGACACACTGGTGAGACCAGATCTAAAGTAGAATGGTTAATAATACTGATACACCAGTGAAACTGATAATGACAAACAGTCAAACCTTGATGTGTCCAACTCCTGGTTGTCTCCAACTCATTTGGGAGTCCCCAAGTATCCAACTTGAGCATAAATTTCTTTTGATGTCTCAAACCCTGGATAACTCTAAGTTTTTCCCAGGTTCGCATGAGTTTGACACAACGAGGTTTGACTGTGGTGTCATGGTCATACATGTGAAACAACTGTAATAAGTGCTATGTTATACACTGGAGAGGCCAGATCTACAGTAGAATGGTAAAAATACTGACACACCAGTGAGGCCAGATCTAAAGTAGAACTGTAAAAATACTGACACTGACAGACCAACTTATCCAATGTAATCTGACTAAACTTCTCAAATTATAGGATTAACATGATTTGATATTTTAACAACCTGGGGATAAAGTAAACTTTAAAACAACAAAATCCAACAGGAATCCAGTCTAATATTCAGAGGACAAGATATACTACTGATTTGAAACTTCTGATACTTCCGCAAAGTCCTTGGCTATGAGTGTCGTCATGCTCGACGCTCCAAGTTCTTTTACCTGTATCCGTACGACAATTTACCTTTGACGTCTGCATCTTTGATCGTACCTGTGTTTCTTCAAGACGATATAGCCATAGGCAAAATCACATAACTCGTATTCATATGATCAAATGCAATGTCGCCTACCTGTTACTTGTATGTTTCAATCCGCCATTTGCTTTCTTTTGAACTGGGACGAGCGCAGGTAAATTCGTACCTGGGTTACTGTCAAAAGTAGAACCACAATGCGGAAATGCATGAAAACGACACAAGTTTCCGTCTCTTTATACCGAATACAAGAACTTCAGTGCAAACAATCGCACTGTGCACCCTGGGTTATTAAAATCAATAATAATAATAATAATAATAATAATTCTCAATTTGATTTTGAATAATAACTTGATATTAGAGATGATCCACGATAGTCGTACAGCATTCAACTGCCATAGTTATAAAGTGTGTTCAATTCGTGATCAGTGCTATTCATAATATAAAAAAAACAAATACTTTCAAATGTAGAACATTCATGACTATATTCGGAGAACGCTCAAAGAATCACATAAACATTCTATCCTGATTAATCAGCAGAGAAATTATTTTTTAAAAATGTTGTTTGCTGGGTTTTTCAGAAAATTTGTTTTCCCCAATAGATTATTAAACATTTATCCTTATCGTCGACTTGGACATGGCATGGTATTTGAGTTTTAGGGTGACTTGGAAATTAAAGGTCTGTTTGTGTCCGATACATCACTTACTTTAAACAAGATGAAAGTGAGTAATGAAAATGTGATGATTAAAATCTGCTTCAGGATCTAATTTATTATTTAAAACTGTAACGTAACATTATTTTATTTATCAAAGTAGGTATTCAATCCATTAAAAAGCTTGTCAGACAAAAAACGAAAACCGCAAAAATTGTTTGATGGTCAATGCACAATATTTGGTCTTCCATGTTATATCAATTTTTCACGATGTGGACACGAAGTCTAATATAGCCCACTGAATTGAACCATAAAAATGTTGGGGCATAGAAGTGTAATTAGAGCAAAGTGGGCTGGATTTTTTAAGTACTGATATGATTGCCGTCTGACAATGTCTGATCATTCATTTCGATAATGTGCTTCCCTCTCGGGACCATCCCAGTGGCTGGCGGTTGCACACATATAGCAATGAGTTAACTCCCTTAGGTCGAGCTTCTCCGATCTTATACAGGTTATGTCACCTGCATTCCTGAAAGCGCCCCCTTGCGACACTTTGAAACATTCCAATGCAATGAGTTCACTTTGTGTTGTCTGTCGTTGATCTTCTGCGCATTTCTAATGCATGTAGTAAGCGGCTGTATAAATATATTTCCACAGTACATTTGGGTCAGTACGTAAGAGGCATCAATATTTCAATGGTTTAGGGACTCATTTTATTACTAGATTCTAGATCTATCCTTTTAAATAGAGGGGCCAACCAACATCACGCACTGGCTTTTTATTTAATTCTTTGTATTTTTCTTGTTCAATTTTTCACCACATTTTCAAAAATTATTATATATAATCTATAACTCTCAATAATTGAAATAAGAGTCGGAAGGCAAACAGGTGCAGACAATTCAAGTTCCTCGGTGACAAGTGGGTTTCGAAAACGTGGATCGGCTTACCTTGTGGAACGAATGTCTGTTTCAAGTCATGATTAGGGACTGGTAATTTATTACATTTTTTATATGGGAGGGTGGGCCGATTGTCTAAGGACTGTATTATAATTTGTTGACCCCTGCCGACGGAGCCCTCTAGATCCGCACCAGAAGCATAAATATGGCACAACAATTATTGCAGAACAGGGCACCTCATTTACCTCACTGCAAGCCCTAAACATGCGAAATCCCCCTGGATTTACGCCGAGAACAGTTAGCAATAAAGTTTGGGACCTCAACCCAACATAACATCTCGACCCAACATAACACCATAATCCAACATAACACCCTAATCGATCATAACACCCTAAACCATCATAACACCCTTATCCAACATAACACCCTAATCCATCATAACACCCTTATCCAACATAACACCCTTATCCAACATAACACCCTAATCCAACATAACACCCTAATCCATCATAACACCCTTATCCAACATCACACCCTAATCCAACATAACACCCTAATCCATCATATCACCCTTATCCAACATAACACCCTAATCCAACATAACACCCTGATCCAACATAACACCCTTATCCAACATAACACCCTAATCCAACATGACACCTCAACCCAACATGACACCTCAACCCAACATAACACCCTGATCCAACATAACACCCTAATCCATCATAACACCCTAATCCAACATAACACCATAATCCAACATAACACCATAATCCAACAAATCCTTAAAAACAATTTAAGACTAAAACACCAAACACTAGCATGGAAAAATCCATTATTAACACCAATCTGTCAACGCACACTCAACTACTTAAACATACACAAACTAAACGATTAAAAACAAAACACAAAACCAAACAACATCTTCACACCCAAACTACAAATCCCCAAATAAAGACACAACACTTTCCTCTAAACTAAACAAGAAACCGGGGCGGTCGGGTAGCCTACTGGTTAAAGCGTTTGCTCTTCACGCCGAAGACCCGGGTTCGATTCCCGACATGGGTACAATGTGTGAAGCCCATTTCTGGTGTCCCCTGCCGTGCTGGAATATTGCCTAAAGCGGCGTAAAACCATACTCACTCACCCCACTAAATAAGAAACCGATCCCAACACAACTAAAGCCACCAAACTATCATACATACACGAAAAATTGCCAAATTGGTGTCACGTGTGTACAGACGGGTTCTCGGACCTGGGCTAAAAGAATCCATATATGTAAATAACACACAAAAACATAAACTCCCTTAGTTCCCCCACATATAGCACAGCATTCTTCAAAATCAAATTTTCAAAAATTAAATAAGCAACCCTAAAGCCCCCCAGGTTGCCCTTCCTTTTCGGACATACCCTGGCAGGGCCGTGTGCGAAATACGCATAAAGTCGGAAAGCGCACGTAAAATCCCCATCTCTCTCTCTCTCGCTCTCTCTCTCTCTCTCTCTCTCTCTCTCTGATTTGCATCATTAACTGGAATCTATCTATATAATACCGAGACATTCTTCGCTTTAGAATCACTGTGTCTACTTGATCGCACTGTTGACAAATGAAAACCGAGGCTTTATCTATCGACTCACAATGAAGGTTCTAGCGGTCGTGCTGTTGGTTTCTGTGTCGATGGCAGGTAAGACACCTGCACATAACACAGGATATGTTTATGTAATAATAATATGTATTACTCGCTGTAACTGGCATTATAAACATTAGTACAATACCCCATTCGTTATCTACTATTCGCCCCCTTCATGTTGTACCTCGTGGCAACAACCATGTCCAGGTCGCAAAATGAAAGCCATGGCTGGTATAAGTGTGTAGGTGTGTGTACTATGCGCGTGGAGGCGCAAGGCGGTGACGGTGACGCTTGAAGTCGTGGCCTGCTTACATGTATTAACCTGATCCAGTGCTGTGCACATAGACAACCACAGGGTGTATGATATTGCTATGGACTGCTTACCCAGTTCTGTTGTATTTATCTGTATTTTGTTATTGCCCTTGACAAATAATGTAATGTAATTGTATGTCTCCACATCATTTGAGGAAATAAAGAGTATCCATTCATTCTTTCATTTATAGCTCCTGAAGCAATATCAGTGATGTACACACAACACCTCGGAGTATATAGCTCCTGAAGCAATATCAGTGATGTACACACAATACCTCGGAGTATATAGCTCCTGAAGCAATATCAGTGATGTACACACAATACCTCGGAGTATATAGCTCCTGAAGCAATATCAGTGATGTACACACAATACCTCGGAGTGTATAGCTCCTGAAGCAATATCAGTGATGTACACACAATACCTCGGAGTATATAGCTCCTGAAGCAATATCAGTTATGTACACAAAAATACCTCGGAGTGTATAGCTCCTGAAGCAATATCAGTGATGTACACACAATACCTCGGAGTATATAGCTCCTGAAGCAATATCAGTTATGTACACAAAAATACCTCGGAGTGTATAGCTCCTGAAGCAATATCAATGATGTACACACAATACCTCGGAGTATATAGCTCCTGAAGCAATATCAGTTATGTTCACAAAAATACCTCGGAGTGTATAGCTCCTGAAGCAATATCAGTGATGTACACACAATACCTCGGAGTATATAGCTCCTGAAGCAATATCAGTTGTGTACACAAAAATACCTCGGAGTGTATAGCTCCTGAAGCAATATCAGTGATGTACACACAATACCTGGGAGTATATAGCTCCTGAAGCAATATCAGTTATGTACACACACAATTCCTTGGAGTGTATAGGTCTATAGTGATATCAACTATGTCGTAAACTATATATTTTGCCGACATCGGATTCTTCACTTCCGTCATAAAACATTTAAGGACATTCGGTTGATGTGTGAATTTTTTTTCCAGCCTCCAGTCCTTATACTCAAGAAACTCTCCAAAACACCATTTCATCCCTGTGTTTGGTAAGTGTAAGATTATTCATGCTTATACAGGGAAAGACTCAACTATGATTATTGTGATTTACAAATACTTTAATTAAGTATCATAAAGTGGTATTGTATGTTAGATTAACTGGAATGTTGTTTTATATATCTGTCTATCGTGGCACGTCATTGACTTTCTCAAGTTTCATTTATACATCAGTCTATCGTATGTGTTTATTCCTTGTGCCAATGAGAGACACATGAATTGGGTGAACAATATAATACAGACATTCACGTACTGTATGAATTCATTAACATCATTGCATGACAATTATCCATGGAGCATTTTTCAAAGTCGTACAAAATATTAAGTGATTTTCAAAAACATTTGGATGTATAGAACAGTATTTTGAAATATGCTTTAGCCTTACGTGGTCATAATGCGGACAATGCATTATAATGGTACATTCATCTTCAATATTATTTCACAAAACGTACTTCTCTAGCAGCAGCACTATATAACGACTGGATCACTGTAGATGTCATGTGATGAACACCTATACAGAGCACGTGACATACGAACTCTTTGTAAGATAAATATAAAACAAATAGGGATTCAGGTATGTCTGGAATAAACACTTTGTGAAGTACTTTTAAGAAGATGACGAATTAAACGGTTG